TTACTCTCCACGCAACCGTTGTTACTCTCCAAGACCCTTCTGTGTGCAGCAAATAACAGCGAACAGCACGTCAATGCTCGTGCCAAGGAACAGCACGCCCATGCTCATGCCAAGCCACCCCAGCGCCTCGTACGCCACCTCACGCTTCAGACTCCTCAGCCACCGCAACACCGCCCGCACACGACTAACATCAACAAAGTGTGCTTTTCCGCAGTGACGCCGCCGAAACGGTACTTTGCCTGCTTGTAGCAAGGTCGCGTGCTGCAGGTGGTGGCGAGTCTTGTGCGACCTGCCACGACGCGTCTTTGGAGCATCACAGCAGTGCGACTATCGAGCATCATAGCAGTGCGACTATCGAGCATCACAGCAGTGCGACTATCGAGCATCATGCTGCGACATGCAGTCCTGAACGGCAAGCGTCAAGGCATACAGCGACTCACATGACTGTCTTGCCTCGCCGAGCCGTCTGTAGGACGTGCTGGGAAATGTATAAAGCCATGCTGAATCGCATTCATGCCAGCCAGCACCACTCTCCAACACAACTCATTGAAACAACACTCATCTTCACCCATCCTTGTCGCCAGCAAGCAATCCCCAGTCATCATGTACACACCCGCCCTCATCGTCCTCCTCACGACCACCGCCCTCGCCCTCCCCAAGCCGTCGGCCCTGATCGGCGTCCCGTCCGTCGCAATCCCCGAGTCCCGCCACGCCATCGTCGAGAGCAGCCATCGAGAGACGGGCGTGGAGAAGCGCCAGTCCTTCCTCACCGGCCTTCCCGGCGTCTACATGCCCAGCCACTACCCCGGGTGCGTGGGCGGCGCGTTCTGTCCCGAGTGGTACATGCGCCAGATCCAGCGCGAGGACGCGGAGAGAGCGGCGCGCGAGAAGGATTTGTCGAGTCTCCAAGTCCGCCAGGAGCGCGCCGATGACGAAGCGGGCGTACGTTCCCACTGACACTCGGGCCTGCCTTTTCAACCCCGTCGACAATGGCCAGGCGCCGCGTAAAACGATGCTGACGTGCTCAGGTCTTCTACTGCCAAGACGTCGATTGGCAGGGCGAATGCGTCTACAACACAACCGCCCTCGGAAGCGATCCAAAGGACTGCGCGCAACTCAACCTGCCCGCTAGCAGCATCGGGCCCGACGAGGGGTACTACTGCATCTTCTACACGTAAGCCCACTCCCTGATCCTCGTCCGTTCCGCCCTCTCCCTGATCCTCGTCCGTTCCGCCCTCTCCCTGATCCTCGTCCGTTCCGCCCTCCCTCTTCTCCTGCACCCTCATGTAGATGCTCTCCGCGTGCCTTTGCTGCGCCCAGCCACTGACGTGAGATAGCAACGCGGTCTGCGCCCCCATCGCCTCGGACGGCAGCGACGCGCTCACCCTGTCGTTCCCGGGCAGCGCGAATCTGATGCAGACGGACAAAGGCGACTTCAACGATCGCCTGCTGAGCTACCAGTGTTTCCGCGAGGACAAGGTGGAGCCGAGTCCGCCGGAGACGGCTCAGGAGGTAGCCCAGGAGCGCGAGGCGGCCATGCACGTGCATGCCCAGGCGGAGAGGCAGTGAACGGTGGGATCGACGTGAGGCCAAAGGATCGCTTGGTGCAATGCTTATCTTGACATGCTGCTAATCGCACCTGTATCCTCCTTCTTTATAGTAGTAGGCAACAGACTTTCGAGCAGTGGGACTGCGCTGAGAATGGTCACGTGTGGTATGGGAACAGGCGTTTTATATACGACTTAGCACGAGTAGATAGCTGTCTTCCGCTAATAACTTCATTGGGTTCTTCTCTGTCTTGTGCCAAGGCATTCTCATGTGCGAATGCACTCGAGCTATCAAAGCTGCTGCGTGTCCGCGGTGTAGGAAGGTGTGTTCTTAGATTGGGTTCGTCATGGGAAGTATGTACAGAACTAGATCGAGTACAGACACGTGCATTGAGGCTGTAGTCGAGTACTCTTAGATTACGTTTCACTTGCCCTTCTTCCTACTACGGTAGACAGCCGTTGCTACATACTTTTCTTAATTAATTTGACTACACAAACTTCGTTGCAAGGCTCCGCGTCGAATTGACTGCCGTGAAATTGGACGTTTGCGGCGCACCGCTCACGAGGTGTGCTTCCCTGTACGCCTTAGTTGTCAGGCCCGCTCAGTCAAGATGACCGAGTCTGCGGCTGACTGATGGTCACGAGATCACAGTAGTACACAAGGGTATCGTCTCACTGTCCGGGTCGGCAGCGATTCGTCTATCCACTACCTGCAATATACTTCTACCTTGTTCAGTCCCATAACATCCAATACTACTTTGAATAGTTCCTAACATTTGAATTATTCCCACTACATGTTATCAGAATGCAGACTAGGCAGAGAAGCCGGAGAACTAGCGACAGTGAAAGCCGGAGCGTCTCAACAGGGCATCCCATTACAGGATTGCCTAACACAGGTGGAATAACTCCACCTTGCAACAAAGGCCTTCACCATTCAGACGAAGAGGGCGAAGCGGATAATTCCAACTAAAGTTAGGGTAGAGGAGTACTGCAGGTACCTGGACAGGCCACAATAAACCCTTCTGGTGTCAGGCATGCTCGCGCATGTGGCCACATAGCCACCTTTGACCTAAGATGCGACGACGATATGTACTGTTCCACCTAGGTGCTCACTATCTGAATGAGCGTTGACGAGCCTTTTGCAAGGTTGCTTGCATGGCCGAGTGGGCGGAGCCCGGTCCTGACGTCTAGGGCAAAACAACACTGGGCAACTATGAAAGAAGCTGCAAGAGATGCAGAGAGACTAGACACAACTTGTGTACGTGTAAAAAAGATACTTTAGATACTGCTTAATTTACTCTATAAATATCTAAACATTACATTATTATGTTGTTAAGATATATGATTGTAAAGGTGCGCAAAGTTGGTTGGGTGGCTCACTCGCTTCGATGGCTCACTCGCTTAGTATTTACGTTACCGTGCCGGAGCTCGTGCCGCACGGTTCCGCGTTCCGCACGCAGCACCCACCTCACGCACCATAGCAAAATGAGGCTGTAGAAACAGCCACGATAGTAATTATCACGAGGTTTGTTAGTATTATAGTCGATTGATGTATGCAATTCATTTGCCGAAAGCACTATTTATATAATGTTGCGGTGCGGCCGCTGCGGGTTGTGTGAGTGCCGCGAGGCGGAGCAGCCGCTGCAGCAACAGCACCACTTCGAGGCTGCG